ATATCTATTTTTTTTATAAATAAAATATAAATTATTCTTTTTATATCTTTTTTTTATTAATATTTAAATTGTTTAGTTTTATATAATATTGTTCAATATTATTCAATTCTATTAGATTATTAATATTGTAATATTTATTTTGATGATAAGGTTTTTGAAACTTTTTATTTTTCTAAATGATTCCTTTTTTCTTTATTTATTATTTATAGAATTGATTATCAATAAGAATAAAGATTTCAATTAATTTGGAAAGATTAGATAGTTTCGAAATTTTTATTAATTCGTCTTTGATAATATCTTTTAATTCTTTATAAAATTATGATTTTAGATAATCATTATTTTAAATAATATATTTAGTATATTATTGAAATTTAATAGTATAAATTATAACTAATTCAATTTGTTTGAATTATTATAATACTTTTTCAATTATATAATCAAAGTTTATTTCTTCGAATATTTTATTGAATCCTTATTTGAATGATTTATAATTGAGGAATAAATAATAAATCTTAGATTTTATATTTTCGTTTAGTTAATTATTAATAATCTTAATTATTAAATTATTAAAAAATGATTCAATTTAATTAAATATAATTCTTTAAAAAAAGAAGATCAATTATAAGATCTTTTGTATAAAAATCAAGAAAAGTTATTTATTAAAAATATAATAAAAATCAATTTGTATAATAAAAACTCGATACTTGTTATAATCTTTATAAAATAAATCAAAAATGGATATCTGAATTGTTTGTTTATATTTTATAATAATAGCAATTTGAACAAGGGTCCTGATTAAATTGAATGAAGATGATTTGATAAATTATTAATTGAAAGTTATTATATTATATATAGTTTAATTATAATAGTATTCAAAATATAACAATTTGATTAAAATAATAATTGTTTTAGATTTTTGTATAATTGATAATTATAGATTAAAATTAATAATTATTAATTATTTATTCGAAAATGAATATATTATTAAATCAATTGAAATATAGATAAACTAATTGATAATTAAATTAAATATAAAGTTTTTAAATTATAAAACTATTCTGATTATATATTAATAAATATAAAGAAGCTTTATAAAGCTTTAAAACTTTAAAAAGTTCTTAAAGTTTTAGAAGTTTTTGAAGTTCCTAAAACTTCTTATTATATAATTAAAATCAGATTATATATTCAAGTTTGCTAAAAATAGAAAGACTATTTGAAACAATTATTATACAAATTTATATACAAATCATCTTGCTTTTCGATAAGGTCTAAACTCATATAGATATATTGATTATTGTCTCTCAATATATCTTTATCTTAATTATAAATTATAACATTACAAAACTTCTTTATATTCATTAGTATATAATCAAAATAGTTTCATAATTTAAAAGTTTTATATTTAATTTAGTTATCAATTAGTTTATTTATATTTCAATTGATCTAATAATATATTCATCTTCAAGTAAATAACCAGTGATTATTAACCTTAACCTACAACTACCAACCATACAAAAACCTGAGGCAGCCGCTGCCTCGACCAGATCGTTACACCGAGCTTGTTAAAGATAAAGAAACCATATGAAGCGATTATTATATAAATTTGTATATGAATCGCCTTGCTTTTCGATAAGGTCTAAGCTTATATAAACACATTGACTACTGCCCCTCAATATATCCTTATCTTAATCGTAAATCGTGATAATAAATTAAATAAATAAAATTGAATTGAATAAATAGAATTGAATTAAATAAATTAAATAATTTCAATCGAACTGAGTTGAAAAAAGCTCTAAATCAGATTTGTTTAAGATTATAAGATTTATATCAAGCTTTTTATTAGATTATTTACCAGGGTATTTTAGACCAATCAGATTGTTAGGATCGCGACTCATTTAAACAAGTTTCTTATTTTCTATTATTTATTAGATAAACCTCATATACAACAAGGTTATAATTATCACGATTTATAGTTTAGATTATAATAGTATTATTGATATCGATGATTTAAATACCAATTGCTGAAGGAGTGTAATTTAACTATTGTTTTCAAGGGACTTAATTGTTTATGAATAAAAACTCAGAATTCCTAGGATAAGTATGTTACAAGGGATGCGATCTAGATCACATAAAAGTGGCCTGGATCCTCGAAGGGCTTATAACTAGGCGTCAAGCAGGGGCTTTTAAAGTAATATCAATGATTGCAATTCGTAACTAATAGTAGATTATACTAAATGATTGATCTTAAGTACGAAGCTCTTATATACAGGAAACCCTCTTGATTTATATAGATCTTTGTATCCTATAGAATTCTTTAGATTTATGATTTGTATAGATCTACAATTTATATTCTTATATATGTAGGGTTTATTACATGACCTTTTGGATCAGATTATAAATCCGAGCTTGTTGAGGGTAGGGAGACTATATGAAACGAGTATTATACAAATTTGTATACAAATTGCCTTGCTTTTCGATGAGGCCCAAGCTTATATAGACAGGTTGACTATTACCTTGTAACAAAGTATTTTAAACAATTATATTAAAATAGAACAAATATTTTAATTAATCGATTGTAATAAAATAATTATTTTGAAGGATATTGTATTTTAAAGTAAAGGTTTTTAAAGAAAAGCTTTTGAGATAAATATTCTATAAAAGGAAAAGTCTTAAGATTAATTATATAATAAAAAGTTCTAAAAGTTTAGAAAACTTTTAAACTTTATAAAGTTTTTTTTTATTCATTAATATATAATTAAAATAATTTTATAGTTTAGAAGTTTTATATTTAATTTAGTTATCAATTAGTTTATTTTTATTCTATTTGATTTAATAATAAATCTATTTTCAAATGAATAATCAATGATTAATAATCTTAATTTATAACTATCAATTATACAAATCTCAGACAGTCACTGTCTCGATCAGATTGTTATAATAATATCAGTAAGCTGATAACAAAATAAAATATATTTAAATACTTTAAAAAAATAATATTTTATTTTTAATAATTTTTATTGAAAATTTATTTAAGATTTTTAAGTTTTTAAATTTATATATAATCTATATATAAATAAAATTTCAATTTTCAATTATTAATATCTCAATTAATGAAATTATTGAAAATCTGAAATTTTCAGAATTTGTTATTATATAAATAATAAATCTATATTTAAAATTTTAATCAATTTTATTTATTTATTTATTGAATTATTAATAATTGAAAATGATGATTTTTGATGTATAAAAATGACCGAGATTAGAAGTGGCTGAAAAGTAAAGTATTAGATTTATGATTCAAATTTTATCAAATCCTATCAATTGATTATAGAGTTATTAATAGATGAAAATCATAATTCTTAATATAAAAGAGTGGCCGGAATTAAAAATGACCGGAAAGTAGATACTAGACTTATAGATTAAATATAAGGTTACTACTGATTGATCTAAGTGAAGAATTTTGTTTCTTGTCTTTGAAGTAATCTTAGGTATTGGATTAGTTTGTGGTTATTAAGTCGTCGGAGAATAAAAATAGTGTTCATAGATTCGAATTTTTGGATGAAAACATGAGAGGGGAATAGACATACCGATATCCGGTAAGAATATACTTGTTATCCTGTCTCCATTCCGCTTTAGGATAGTTGGTACGGGTGTGAGTGTTAGGGTCAGGAAACTCGCAGTATATCAAATACACCTCGTCATTTGTATAATGCCAGATATATATCACCTAGCAAACTGATCATTTTGAATAAAAGAAAGAGGGAAGGAAACTCACCAAAATTCATCCCGTCTCATCACCATAACTTTTTCTTCTTCGACCTCATTGATCACGAACACGGCTTCATCATTTATTTCACACCTAAACCCACACCACTTCCCAAGCCATCCCCGACAGTAACCCCAATCTAATTCCTAACCAATACCTCCAACCCACCCATCGATATCTCCGCTGGTTTCTTCAACACCAAATGATCATTCCTACTTCTCCCCGCATCTTTCTCCATTTTCCATCCCATTTCCTACCATCTCTTCCATCCCTGATTTCCCCCTCATCCATTTATCCCATCCTCCATTCTTTTCCATTTCTCATCTTCTTCTTCCCTCTCTTTCCTTCCATTCCCACTCCCCCTCTTTCCCATAACCCCAATATCCAACCCACCACATCTATCTAATTAATATCCACCCACAAATCCATCCACAAATCTAAATCCGCACACATACAACCAACAAAACAAAACACAACACCCCTATCCCCCATAGAAAACCCCAATACACTCCACCAAGAACCTCCGATAAAAACAAAACAAAACAAAACAAAATAAAATAAACCACTTTTTTCAGCCCATCCAACAAAAGACAAAGCACTTACCTACTATCCTCGAACAATCAATCATTCATCAAATTCAATTTCCGTCCATCTTCACACGACAAGAACTCAATATACTACAAGCTCACAGCTCACCAATTCCATAAGAACGACATAAAAGCGCGTACAAGAATCAATAGTCAAAAAGTAACAAGAGAATAAGACATAGGTTAAACAACTTAAATATAAATACTTCTCTTCTAATTATGAGATGAAATTTCACTCTCAACACCTACTCTCGAATCGAGGTAGAAGAAAGCGTAATTATATCAAAAAATATAGGCATGAAGAATAGTGTCATGTTTTTCACTTAATTAGGAGGGCAAAAAAAAATCAGATAAGAATGAGAGTCAGGAGTCAATATGTATGAATGGACCAAATTTGATTATTTCCACCTACGATTAATTAAGCTTTTGTTCATCTATCCCAAGAGCCGGGCATTAGAGCACCAACTTCATTCCATTGCACCGTTGTGCCAAGCATGTGAACAGGGATAGAAACTGGTGATGGCAAGGAGGATTACATTGCAATGCCACTTCAACAAAGTACTGCACTTAGTGACGAGAAAACATACAAATCCACATCCTATACGTGAATAAATGATATAATATTTAAAAGAGATTATTCAAATGCTAGAATACTTTTGAAAAATCGCCGTGTATTGCCACGAGGATAAAGTGATGGAACTTGTGCAAGACAACGAGTAAATTTGCTTGACTTGACCAATAGTATAAAAGGATGAAATCAACTAATAGAACTAGGCACGGAAAACAACAGCCGGGTGCTTGTGTCTTCTACCGTTTGCGGTATCCATCGCGAGTTTCCGTAGCATAATGGTTTTGTGAGCGGGAGGAACAAATTGAGCGCTCAAAGTGTCAAATGTAACAATTTAACCTGCACCTCCATTTCATCACCTAACTTGATGAAAACCCAGCGATAGAGAGCAAGAGACTCAGACTACGAATCAGTCTATTCTCAGTGTTCAGAATTTGTTGAGTGAAGCTATAGGTCCCCAAAAAATTGCAAGTAGATTTTGCTTCCCAGAAGTAAGGTCGTAAATTAGTCAAGTACGATAAATGTAAAGTGTATTATCAATATTCGGCTAATTACGGTTTCTAAAATGAAATAACCATATATGAGGAGTCCATTCTCTCTTGGCAGTGCTCATATGCCAGCTGAGGGGTCGATAATGGAGCCAGAACCATGGTCGACAGTCAGGCCTTGACTTCTTTCAATATCTCTGGAGATTAGTAACATGCCTCTGTCCGCCACGTCAATTATCTTTTGCAATTCTCTCAATGCCCCTTCAGTATGATTGTAAAAGACACCATCGATAGATCTTTTATAAATTGATGTTGTGTTGTGATTCACTTGATAGGTATTAGCATCGTAAGTGTCCGGGTCGTTTCTAACATCAAGTGCCTTCCCATTGATATCCCTGATGTCAAAAGAGGTATCTGAAAGAAGCGTGTCCAAGGTCGGCGGAGCCTTTGTACCAAGTACAGCTTCCACGAACCTCTGTTCAAGAGATTGATTGTGCCCAGTAGGGTCGTCAAGGTCGTAATTGGGATTTACCGAATCAGGATCGGGATCGTAGTCATCGTAACTTAGGCCACTAACTCGAAGGATTCTGAGATTGAGACCTTCAATTTCTCGTAGAGCTGGAGCAAGCCATATGCCTTTCTCACGCTTAGGCGGGTTGACATTCGGATGACCTACCCATAAACTAATATTCCCTTTATCAACCGAACCAAAGACTTTCAACGAGACCTCGATCAAGTATAATTCTGTTAAGGAACGGCAATTCTCCTTGATCAAAATGAACAGCAGGTCAGGGTCTATATCCAACCGCTTTAATTCCAAAAATCTCAAGTTATTGAGGACAGGCCCTGTGCTGGGATAATAGAAAGGGAACTGCATAGACCATTCCATAAAGTCCACGCGGTTGGAGTTTCTTCTACTTTTTTTCCTCGCAACATTCGACCCGATCAAACATAAGCTTTCCAAATCCTGCGCTTTTCGAATTAACAACCAAATGTTCCTAGCAAAAATCGCTTGCATTCCTACTTCATCCTCCTGCCTCTTGAAAGATATCACTAGACTTTTCAGATTTTCGAATGTCTTAAAGGCATTTTCGACATCAATGGGTACATTGAATATGTTGTTAATCGTTTTGTCACTGACATGATCCAAGACCATTGTATCAATTTTTAAGTGTTCCTCGGGGCGATTTGCCGCACATGCTAGAGTGTGGGCCAATAATCTTGTAGTTGTCATGGAAGCACTGCCGACGACTTGGAATGGTAGGCTGAGCTTAAGTCGGGTTATCTGTGGACCACTATGGAAGACTCTGCGAATGAGACGACCGTAATCCTCCTCTGTAAACGTATCTACGTGAAGGCAATAATTTCGAAGAGACTCAATCATGTCCGCCATTTCAGGAACCCTAGTAACAATACTATCAAAGGCATCTTTAAGACGGTCGATTTCATCTAGTGACTGTGTTAGCTAGAGAATGCCTTCTGAGAAATACACGACAAGACGAGATCAGAAATATACGATGCCCAATGCTGACACAAGATGATATGCCTGGATGAAGCGACTGGCGCATACCTGGATCTCTTACTACCGTCATATCTAAATTGATGGAGGATGGCAATGAAGTTATGTTTTGGAGCGTCTCCAATCGATCTGGATAGCCATCAATATCCCGAAATTGAATGAATCTCGTGAACTCCAGTTGAATCGTCTTGAAGATTGAGGGCCTCAAAATCTTATTGAACGCTTGGCATACTAGTCGCAAATTCAGAACGCCATTTTTGTCGCAGCGGCACATGTCGACATTCTTCTCAAGAATCAGAGTAAGAAGCTCGGGGGGAAGTGTGTTCATGATCTTTCAGATGTTCGATATCTCGAATGGAACGAAGTAAATGGAGGAAGAGTCTATCTCAAATTATGAAGATAGTATGATATCGTAACTTTCAGTAATTGTAGGGAAAATGTCAGGACGCGTTGGGGTCGATGTGCGTGTCAAGTTGGTTGACATGCTAAGCTAGCCTCAAAATAATTTAGTTGAAGTAGAGATTCATAGCCTTGCATGCAAGGCTACTACATGGCGATGAAAAACTATTAGGTAACTTACTAGCCTTGTCAATTCCAAGGTCTGGGAATGAATGTGAAGTTGAAAATAAATAAATTGAAAGTCTGTTTAGAATTTTATCAATTGAAAAAGAGTTCTTTTCTTCTAATAACTATTTAAAACAATGTATGAATTGAGATCAACATAATGAATTAAGATTTAAAATCCCTCGTTTCAATGCTACTACGGACTGCTAAAACAGTTTTTAATTATTCATTATTTTTATAGTCTTGTGAGGGAGGTTATCGAGATAGTCCTAATAACTATCATTCCCATCCAAGATCCTAATCACGGGTTTAGGTAGAGTAAAGTGTCTCTGTCTCAAGAACATCATTCTTTTCCACATACGGGTAAATGTATGATGATGATGATGATGATGATGATGAAAAGGAGAAATTAATTCAACAGAAGAGAGTTTCTATCCGCGCGGAGAATATTAGCCAATCGTGAACCTAATCGACAGCCACATCTGAAGCCAAGATGGCTTTGGGTTGATAAGGCTGCGGGTGATAAACCGTCAGAACTGCGTATCCCCCTGGATCTTTTACTCTTCTACATATGACAGCAGAACGAGGAAAGCATAAAATTATCGGGACCGGTACCGGATGAGTCCTCGGGAGGACTTCAGCAGTCCGATAAACCTTTTCAACCTTTTGGTTTTATTGTTTTACTTTACTTCGTTTGTGATTCGAAAAGCAGACGATACATCTCGATTGCTTTTTGAAAAGAGAAAAAAGACAACGAATGATTGCATGAAGGAAACCAAGCAGCTGTATCCACGTTCCTATTACGATAAGCATTGCAGGTTTGACATGCAGACAGGAATATAGGAACTGTGCACAATCTGGTGGTGGCTTTGAAAGCATACGATGTAAGACATGCAAGTTTTGGGATACCTTGGAGCTTATGTACACTTACCACAACGGTATGCAGGCGGTATGCAGGAGCTCCTTTTTGGAAAAGGTCCAGCAATTTGGAAGAGCTGCGTTTCTGATGTGGAGGCTACGACTTGACTAACCAACCAACCCCTTACTCTTAAATTCTGAGTAAACATTTCGGAAAATATCTTATAGAAGTAATTGGCAATTTCGAGAAATAACCATTATCGAAGTCTGAGAGACGAGAGACGAGAGACGAGAGACGAGAGATCTAAAACCACTTGGGCATTCATTGCTGATAGTGGTAAATATCTACAAAATCTTCATTTCTTCAAAATCTTCCGATATCTTTTTTTTCAATTGGCATCAAATCTCGGATATGGGATTTCCCCTGCAAGCCGAATTTCATGATCTACGAATTTATTGTTGCATCCAAGCATCAAAGCATCCAAGAGCAAGATGCAAATGGCTCCACCAAATCCACAATACCAACAGTATTACTTGTACCTAGGTATGTATTTCCACAAGCGCGGAGCATTTTTCGTAATGATCTCTTTCGCTTATGGCAACATTCCAGGATTTCAGCATTTCGAAATCTCTCGGTGAGGTTTATACAAGTTATCAATCCGACTGACCCGATGAAGTACATATGTACCCACAAAAGGAACGATTATATGGAGTAAAAGTGTTTAAGTTGGAATTCGAAAACAGGGAGCGGATGGGAGTTTTGGGAAAGACGTTTTATGGGCGATAAAGCATTTGAGGGAAGAGGGAAGAGGGAAAAGGGAAGAGGGAAGAGGGGAGGGAATACCCAGCTCGACCAGGCCCATGTTTCTTATGATTAAGGGGCAAATAGAAAGCTTTGAAGAGCACAGCATATTACCGCCTTGGCTAGGGATTTCTTTTCAAGCTGTGCTATTGCACAATTATCGCCCACTTTATATCTGTCATGATGGTTCAACGCCTGCCTGCGCTTCTCATTACCTGTCTGTATTGCCTGCATATATCTAACAAACACATGCAGAATCATAGGCCGAACAAGGTAGAGTAATGAACGTCAAGTAATATGTACTCCGTACGTACGTAACGGTACATGTAACTAAAAATAGATTTACATTGGTTGATTGGCTGCTCGGTATGAATTTATTGCGCTGCAGGATAAGGGAAGGGGGCAGTGAAGGAAGAGACAGGTGGGATGAAAGGAATGTAAAGTACGTGCCGGCACATTCAATACCGTATTTGGCAGATTTATACTTGGTTCTTCAATGATGACCCCTCTTTGGGTCGGGTAGATGAGTGCGCGATACGTAGTAGAGTTGTTGTATGTGTATACTTTATTATTATAGACATTTGTAAAAGGTACCACTTCATACTTATATGTATGTCTATGTCTAGATACAGCGATACCACCTATTAATTTCATACCCAAGTAGAATTATATATCTACTAGATACTAGCGAGTATACAAGGAATATTTAGTATCTAATATTTAGAACACGGAATACTCACTAGAATAAACATTGACTTCCAATTTGTGCTCGGACTTGGGTATACTGAGTGCCGGTAACGAGGTATTTTTGGTTCTTCCTCTAAACCCTTGAAAGTTAAAATAATTTAATGGATTTATCTTTCCCATAGTCGAGTATGTTTTGCTGATGTACATTGATTGATGCTGTGTTGCATCACTGTTGATTTTCTTGGACCAATTAGGATATCTTCAATAGCCGTCTTAACCAAGTAGATAGATACTCTAGATACTTAGAAAGAACACATCCAATAGAACTCAATTAATCCCAGCCTCACTTGAACAGCTCCAACTCCACCACTATCAGTCTGATTACTCACTCTCAACTCACTCACTCACTCACTCCATCAACCAATTCATCCATCTACCCATCTTTTTTTTCTTTTTTTTCTTCAAAACTCTTAATTGAATCATTATATCTTAATTTGAGGAATTTTTCTTTTATTTCTCTCCCCTCACTTTCTTCTTCCTCTCTCCTGCATGCATTTACTTTATCTCACCATTGTCGTACATACATACATCCTTCCTCCTCCGTAGATACTCTCCTTTTCTACATCCCCCGTCCCATCACATCTCATCTCATCTCATCTCATCGTATATCTCCAACAGAGAAATCTACATAAAAATTCGACACTCGTTTGTGCATGCAACTTTCTCGTACAATACAACATCGTCATTTCTACTGTATATCGTAGTTAATTAATTTGCGACAATCCCGGAGAGAGCCCATCTTACCACCACCTTCACATTTAATTTATACGAATTTTAAGGAATTACAATACTTCGTACTTTGTACTTTGTACCTTCAAATCAAACTCAATCGCTTTCTCCTCTCTACAGACTGATTTGATTCCTACGAAAAAGAAAGAATTCCCACTGTCGTTTAATTCTCAAAGATTGTGAAACGGGAAAAGATTTACGACCTTACCTCCTCCTCCTCCTCCTCCTCCTCCTCACCTTACCTCACCTACCCAGTTTTGAGAAAACATATTCATTTTTTATATTTTATTTTATTTTATTTTATTTTTTCTTTCAAATTTAGTCAGCCTCATCAATCAGTCAACCCGCTGCAGGTCAGAGAACGGGCGACTTGATGACATTCGTTTGTTTTCCGCTATCTTCATTGTAGGAATTGCAATGTTCACTTAAATTCTTCGACATATATCTGCTCTCCGCAGTGTTGCGGCAATGCATGGTTCTACCTTGACAATGCCTTCGATCTTCGAATCGAACCCCCCTTTCCCTCGTTCTCACTCTTCCTCCAATATTCCTGATTTAGTCAACATTGACTACAAAAATTCATCCATCCACAACGACACAGAACTTCCACGATCTGCGAGTTTCAGTACTTTACCAACCATTGAAGATCCGAGTACCGATTATGATGAAGGGGGCTTACACAGACTAAACTCTGCCGCCAGCACCCCATCTTTTCCTGCACCCCAAATAGTAACACCGTCGCCGAAATCAAGTTCAATTCGAGAAGGGAAAACGAGTAATCGACTTACGAAGGAGGAGAAGCCGAAAAATGGGAGGTCTGGGAGGAGAAAATCACTGGTGGCACGTCCAAAGTCTTGGATTCAAAAAGTCAAAGGATCTCCTGAGGGAAGCTCAGCTCCTGAATATGCCAACTCAACATCAGATGAAGCACTTCCAGTGTCGCAGGCTTCTAAAGCTTCCCGCGAAAAGACAAAGTCTGTATCAGAAACGTTTGCTACGTTTGCACGCAAGTCTTGGATCTCGTCATCCTCAAGATCGCCATCTCCAAATAGTCGAAAATCAGGAAAACAGATTGAGGAGGATGGAAGGAATGAAGGTCCATTAAAGACGGCGGCTACGATGCTTGCTGCTCCTTCGGCCATCGCCGCGAAATTTGACCACACAGTTGAGGATACCGACAGTCCTTCCAAACCACCTCAAGTGAAAAGGAATTCTACCCTTCGAAAGATCAGGCAGCGGCCGCAGAGTATCTTGGGGAATTTTACAAGCCTCAATTCCGTTAATTCATCCACCAGTAGTCTACCAGGTAGCTCAGTAGACAACAGGTCGACTCCAAGGACTTCAACTGATAAGGTCCCGCCATTACCGTCGGATTTCTCGACTGAAAAGCTTCTCAGCGTTGAGACACCACGAAAACGCGACGAACTATGGCAGACTTTTCGAGGGTTGGAAAACGACTACACAAAGTTTCAATCCAAATCACTATCTTTAAAAACCAACGTCGTTCGCTCTACATTATTGCCATTCCTTCGAAACAATGCCAATCATCCTTCCAACAGATGTCTGCGGCCTGAAGATATTGATAGAAGAATCAATATATTTAATAAGTGGTGGGTGGGACTTCTGGAAGTACTGGATGGGCGTGCAAACCAGATCGTCTCTGGCGTAGATCGTCCGGTTTTGCTTGAAGCTATTGTGATGATTATGACAAGGCCAGAGTGGAGGCTTGGTCCATCGCAATTCTCACCCCTTTCGGAAAGATCTCCAAGCCGATCTCCCGAACGTACTGAGCGCACTTCCATACGAGGGAGAAAATCATCGAGCTCGTTGAACTCGTCGGGATCACAATTCCTGGCCGAGTCTGTTTATCACAATGTTAGGAATTTGTTCATACAAAATCTAACATCTCAGATGCATTTTGTTGTTGCAAAAATGTCACTCAGACATGCTCCTGCAAGTTTGGTCACATTTTGTGGAAAGGCTGTGGCCTATGCTTTCTTTTTTGTGCCTGGCATTGCAGAAATTCTGGTTCGAATTTGGAAGATACCGACTGACATATTAAAACGTGTTGTCGACGAGTTAGGTTTACCAAAGCGACCTAACAAAACAGAAACTGAAGAAGTTGCTGCCGCATTTCCACCACATGTTCGAGCATTGGGTTGGACGTCAGTGATGACAATGATCAATCAGCTTCGGGAACACCCTGCCTTGTCCATTCTAATTTCTAAGATACCTTGGTACGGTCCGTGGACTGCTCGATGGTGTGGACGAGATAGTGATCTTTTCTATGTGTTTGCGAAGCATTATCATATTTTGGCTGAGGAATTTTTACCTTTAGACCTTTCATTTGCAATCAAAGCACGTGCGCCAGGATTTGTCCTAGTTCAAGCACAGATTTTGACAGCTCTGGATGCTACAATTCATCGTCAACCAGCCAGTGAACCATTTCCAATCACCTTCGATGACGTACTTGCAGGTGCTGATGCCTCCGCGGCTGCATTGCCTCTGCCTTCAACCAATTCTGCTAGGCTAATGGCCGAGAATCGCTTGATTATGCTTCTTCGAGACTTCCTTTCCGAACGACCTGCCGATTTCGAGCCCGCTCGTATGACTTTTGCGAATGCTTTCGGTAAGATGATGCAAGCTTCGGCAAAAAGAACTTCTTTGTATGACCACAATGCATGTTTCGTTTTGTGCGATTTCATGGATGAAGCACTTTCATTGTTTGTTCGATTCCACCATGCTCACGAATTCGAAGACGATTTTATTGATTGGCATTTTTGGTTCGATGTGTGCAGGAAGATGCTGGAGAGTCAAAATAGCATGTCGGAAATCCGCGTGTTTGCTTTCCTCTACTCTGCTTGGAATCTTGTCACAAATGATGAGTCTCGAAAAGAGATACTATGTTTGGAGTGGTTATTGACCGAGGAAACCTTCGATAAGTTCTTTAATCATTGGTGTCCTATGGTTCGGGCATACTATATGCGCCTTTTATGTTGGCGCTTATGTCGAGAGGATGGGGAGGCTTCTGAACTTGACACGTGAGTTATTATTGATTTATTTTAAAACACAGTAACTAATCAAAACACAGAAAAATCTTTGGCATTGTTTGCTCCCGAATTAAGGGTACCTGGGCAAATTATCTCTTTCTCAAACAAACCGCGGAGAGTTCAGATCTCCTTCCTCCTTCCACCACACCCTGCCTTCCAGCACCTGGGCGACGACTACTTATCATCCGTAATGATACACAAATGCCTGCGCCAAGCCTTTTCCTTGGATTCGATGGCTTAATGACAACTAACAATCCTTCCAATTTGCCTCGGAAGCCAGTCAACGCATACAAAAGACATTCTCTTCTAGGTGATTTAACACAACTGGAAAGCAAAGAAAATGAAACTCCAAAATTGCCTAGCGAAGCGCCAACTCCAAGCAAGAGACGATGGACATTTATGGGCAGAATAATCCCATCTTTATCTCCTTCACCTGAGACGACTTCTCCTTCCACAGCTGTCAAAGCTGGAACTGAAAAGAAAGCACTTGAGGAAGCAAGAAAAGCTACATCTGTGGCAAGAACCAGACCCACCCTTAACTCAAAAAATTCAAGTGACAGTGAAACTCCTCCAGCTACGGCCTCTTATCGCGCCTATAGCTTCAAATTTTCTTTGGAATGGGCCCAGAATTTTGAAAAAGTGCACTCGATCCTTCACACTGGTAGCGCCCCAAAAGGACCAACTGGTTCCAATAGTGCAAATGAAAGAAAACTCACACCACCACGTCTTCCTGCTCCAGCGCATGCGTGGCTTGCCGCTCGGGTTCCAGGAATGAGCAATGAAGTATCACCCCAGGATCCAAAAGTTATAGGAATAGATAGATTCACGCGATCTAAATATGCTGGAAGGGCATTAGCGGAATGGGGATTGATTGTGGGGGAATGCAATAATTTTGTCGATAGGAGAAGAACGGAGGGAGTACCGAACTTAAAGTGGGTGGAGGTTCCTACTTTGGGGGTGGAGGGATTTAGGAAATTCGCTGAGTAAGAGACATTGCAGTGAGCAGCGGTGGTATGGCGTGCGGAGTATGCTTGGATTTGAATGGATTGGAATATAAAGGGCGGAGCATCATAGGATAAATGAGCATTTTTGTACAGGAAGCAGATGGGAACGGGAAAGTCGCATTTCAGAAACAATTGGAGTAGAGAGGTAATTTATCTAGTTGGGTGGGGCGGATACATGAGATGCATGGATCATGAGTACTACTTTTACAGATACTCGACTTAACATTCTTGCCTTTGAAATTTATTGGGGTTGAATTGCATTGGATTGAAATGGATGGGAATGGATGGATTGGATTGGATTTGATTGGATGGAAATGGAATGGAATAACACTCCTTCTTAGCGTATATGAAATACATCTTAGATACCTGCACATCTGCATACCTGGATAGAAAATGGGTACTGAGTTTTTTGGGGTTTTTTAATAGAACTTTTTTGTTGTTTTTATTATAATTGTGAATACTTTGTTGTGTAAGATTACTTTAGTCTAATAATGACGACTAGAAAGAATTTTGGATAAATTTTGGATAAATTTTGAAGGAGAGAAGAGTAGAAGAGTAGAAAATGAAGAGAGGTGAGAGGTAAGAGGTTAGTGGGTAGGTATTGATAAATAAGATAAATAAGATAAATAAGATAAATAAGATAAATAAGATAAATAAGATAAATAAGATAAATAAGATAAATAAGATAAATAAGATAAATAAGATAAATAAGATAAATAAGATAAATAAGATGAATAGGATGGATATATTATATCTATTTATTGATTTGAATGGATAACTGAATATAACTAAAATCTCCCAAAATATTACTATCGATTGATGAATCATCTAGTTAATTACCTAGGTAGCTAGAAAATCAACGACGCAATCAATGAATGGTAAAGTAGTTAAACCTAATATACTCCTACGCCTGCCTACTCTTCCTACTCCTACTCCTACCCCTACCCCTAACCCTAAACATATTATCTACTTTATGGAATAAATATCCTTACTTGTTCCCGCCTGCAATATCAAATTATGTAAGATCTTATCATACGATTGATTTTCTGTCTGATTTTCTGTCTGCGTAAGGTTGGTTATCTTTAACTAATTAAATCTTTATTTCTGCACGTCGATGTAATTAAAGTGAACTTCCTAAGTCGTCAAGGTCTTCTTATTTCCTCTCCATCTTTCTCCTTCTCTTCCCTCCATTCCACCTTCCTCCATCCAAGGATCTTCTCCTTCCTCTCCTTCTCCCATCCCATCCATCCCTCCATCCCCCCTCCCCCCTCATCCATCCTCCTTCCCCCCCTCTTCCATCCACCCCATTCCCTTCCCCCCTCCCCAGCCCATCCTCTTCTCCCATTCCTCCATAACATCCCTAACCTGTCCCATTTTCCTCCTCCTCGTTATCTTCTCCTCCATTTCCGCGTACGCTTTAGGTATTCCTTGAAGATGAAGTTTATTTGCATATTCCTTCTCATTTATTTTCTTCCACTCTGATTTTCTTTTTATGTCCTTTTCGTTATCTTTGGAATTTTTAGTCTTGTCTAAAGTCGCAGCCACACGACCATCTTGTAATAAACCAATATCCTTCAAGCTTGGCCTCTTTCTTAGACTAATTCTCGAATGACTATATTTTGGTTTTTTGAGAGGGATCTTTTTACCCGTAGCCGGATCGATAGAATTTTTTAATTTGTTGAAGGGTGGGGGAAGTGGTTTGTTCTTGTTTTTTTCGGGAAATTCTTTGATGAAATCTGGACGGCCGGGTGGTTCGAGGAAGTTTTCCGGGATGGGTCCGAGTTGCCGACGGTGGAGTTTACCCTTGGGTTTGGCTTTCGCTTTCGCTTTAGGTTTTGGAGGAATATCGGAATCAGGGATGAGAGGTGTGGAGGATTGACCTTGCCAGCCGGGGACTTGGTCAGATGGAACTTCTTTTAGGATTTCAGGGGTGTGGAGAGGAAGAAGGGGTCGCCAAGGTGGTGGAGTTATAGATCCTTGTTCCCAACCGGGAACTTGTCCAGGAGGAACTTCTTTCTCAATTTCTGGAGAGGTGAGAGGAAGGAGGGGAAGCCAAGGACTATCTGGTGCATTGATATCGTATTCGCGAGACTTGAGCTTTTTCTCTTTAGCTATGGCTTGTTGTTCCCATCCTGGAACTTGGCCAGGAGGAACCTCTTTAAGAATCTCGGGGGAAGTGAGTGGAAGGAGGGGAAGCCAAGGACTATCCGGTACGGTGATATCATATTCACGCTTGAACTTTCGGACTAGAGGAGCTGGTGTTGTGGCTATGGAGGAGGAACCCTCGGTGGATGATGAGAAGTCTATACTAGAACCAGTTATTGTAGAAGGAGATATAGAAGTAACATCTAGGTTAGAAGGAGATGGCAAAGGAGCAGGTGTATAAACAGGGTCTCCTGGAACAGCATCAGGATTTATTGTGGTATAGTAATCAGGTTCGTCGAGAGATAAGGACGCCCACGGGTTGGGTTTGGTTGTGGTCGATGCTTCACTCGGGTAAGCGAAGGAACCGGAAGGTAATATGTAACTTTCAGTACCAGTCGGCCCAACGATAGGAGGAATAGTTGGAGGATCCGGAGGTATACCGAATGAATTCGTTGTGATTGTTGGTTTGATGATCGGCGAGAAAGAGGTGATCGATAACACGCTTGTTGTGGAGGGTTCGGGGACTGTCAATGTACTGGTTGTGGATCCCGACTGGGGCATTAAGCTGGATGATTCAACGAAAGACCTCAACGAAGAACTAGTTGACGTCCTTATGGATGTCGTCAGAGTAGGATTTACATTGCCAGACCTATTTCTTAATTTGTATATTTGCATGTAAAGTATTCCATCCATAGTACCGCCACAATATTTGCCGGAATTAGATGGGCAACTGGATTGACAAAAAGAAGAGCTCTTAACGGAGAGTATCGAAATATAATCGGAGCACCAACAAGATCCAGGTTCTATGCCGGCATAGGTGTATGGAATTCCGTTTTGTCCCGAGGTAGAGCAAGCATTTACACAACTTTGAATTGTCTCTGCTGGGGCCCCAGTTAAGTTAAGTAGAGGAAAACCCAGAGGTTTACCACGACCGCCATCCTTGAAACATCCAAAGTTTTCATATATCCCAGGATTAGTTGATACCGACGAAACACTTCCCGTATTGAAAAAGCCTCCATCACGAGGCAATGATTCTCCACGCTTGGAAGGCTCATTAATCCTACTGACATTAGTGGCACTGAACGATTGAGATGCAGAGACTGAAGCAATGCCTAAAAAGGCCGTGAACAGATTTGATAAAATCATAATTTTGGATGCTGGGAACCCTTTAGAAGTTCTACATGATAGGAACATAGGGATTTGTTGGATATAAAATAGCACACGGCACGCCCATGCCAGCCATACCTCTATGGCTTGGCGTGATGAAGAATTGGAATGCTCAAGTAGAAATGGTGTTAAATTCTAGAAACAATGTCTTATGTTGCGGCACTTCCGCTATGGCTCTTCAATCCGACAAGAATAGAATTGTACAGAAAAATAATTATGCTTCAAACCTTGCTGATCCATAATTCAAAGCTACAACAGCATATGTGCTATGCTAACTTTGACTTTAATGATTTCATCCTCCATCTCGCAATCATTAACCCGGCTGAGTTGTATATTAGACACGCCCTACCCAGATGATCGGCATGTAACCGACGACGTCACCGTCGACAGGTTGAAGAATGTTGATCCAAAGGGCGAAGCTATGCTTACGGAATGTGAGTTACCCAGTCCTCGGTATATGAGCAGTGAATTGTAGTAAAAGATAGAATCCAGGACGAAATTACATGACATCGCATTATGTCTATACTACCTGCCTACTATACCAGAGAGCGAACGTCGAAGGTTGAGAAGTGAAGATAAAAAAGATCAACCAAGACGTGGAGAAACGCGGCAGAATTCGTCACGTCGTCACGTGCAAATCACAACCACGCTAAGATACGGCTAGCTATCGCGATTTTGAATATTATCTTGTCTAGAATCATTTGGTATTGTGACAAACCCCATCAATAATGAGCTCAACAATAGCACAATTGGAATCATCCTACTTTCACCATACAGCTATAAAACAGTCCTGCAAAATCAGCCAAGTGCAGCCTCTCCATAGACAAACGAAGATTGAACGTCCAACAGCCTCGTCATCACAATCCAAAATCTAGCGCACTTCCTCAATCCTATGACCACCGCAGGTCCATATCCTGTCGCAGATTTTGAATTCCCGGATGATCATTCAAACCGCATTCGACCTCCCTCTTCTTGCACATCAACTATAACCAAAAAATACATACCACCGGCGGTTCCTTCGCCTCCGCGATTTTCGAACCACCATTTACCTCCCGAACAACCAGTTGATCGAACGAAGCACGCATTGTTACGAGAAATGCCGAGCAAGATGTTTGATCAATGGACCTTTACCGAGGCGGAGCTCAAAGCGACTCCCTCCAATTTAGAAGGCCTCTCGCCCGAGGAGGAACGCACCCGTAGAGCAAAAGGAGTTTCTTTCATGTCATCAATTGGAAACATGCTACACATTCCCATGACCACTGTGAGCGTCGCAAGTCTCTACTTCCACCGCTTTTACATGCGTAGAAGCATGGTCCTAGATAAGAAGGGCTGCACAGGGATTCATCACTATGTAAGTTCTTTCTCTATCACTAAATTATGAAGAGTAATTGCTCTCTACATCACACTTCTTAACTCAAACTTTACTCCGCTCCAAATCGAAATTGTAAGGTTAAGTATTGCGATTTTGATTGCTTCAGTCTTTTTTGCTTAGTTTTGCTATACTTCTCCCGGAGCAATGATACTAATCGACTCTTATCAGGAGATTGCAGCGACGGCTCTATTCCTGGCGACGAAAACCGAAGAAACCATTCGAGGAACCAAACTTTTCATCTTTGCCTGTATCAAGGTTGCTCAGAAGAATCCGAAACTCGAAGTTGATGCTAGCTCTAAAGAGTACTGGCGATGGCGCGACAGTATTCTCATGTATGAGGAACTTATGCTGGAATTATTATGTTTCGACCTTTCTGCGACATCTCCACTGAAATACCTCGTGAATTTCTTTGAGGAATTTACACATGTTGGTATTGAGTCTGCAATTATTAAAGAACTCCGCAATTACACATGGGCATTAATCTGCGATACACACCATTCAACGTTAGGTCTCATGACAAGTGCGCGGACCATTGCGATCACAACTCTTTTGTTTGCAGCGACTGCTAAAAAGGTCGAAATACCCCGGATAAATGGGAGAGATTGGTGGGAGCACCTTGGGGGTACTGAACCTAAGATTGTTGAAGCTGGGCTTATTTTACATAAATTCCTAAGCAATAGCCCTTTTCAGATCACGGATCAGGACCAGCCTGGAAATACGGCTGCCAAATACTTACACGCCTCAAGCGGGAAAGAGGAACTGAATGGTGCTGTTTCTGCTGTAAACCCGGAGCAGGCTCAGAAGGAAAATGGAAACGGCCATATCCATGGGAATGGCACAAATGGTTCGGAAAACAACTCCCGGTCAGATCCTGATGTCCATAAAAATGATCCAACTGAAAAGACCGAAAATGGTCATTCAGATAGCAAGCCACCCACTTCTTTAACGACTGATGGTGCTCGACCTTCGCCTCCCTCTGGAACGGATGATGCTCCTTTAAAAGCAGCAGCCAATGATCTTTCAAGCCACGACCAAATTAATTCCTCAAATGATTCTTCGTCAAATATCGATCATGACATGAAAGCGACCCCGAAACGCAAGGCAGATGAACAAATAGATGAGGCACCGCTAGCAAAGCGAGCAAGAACAGAAGATACAAGCTCTGAAACTCTTGCGGATATCCCTGAGCCTCCAAATGAAGACAAAGAAATGCCAGACGAGAGCCAAGATACTATACAAAATGGTAAGGATGATGCTCAAAAAGATGTTGAGCTTAATTCCGAACTTGAACCCAAAACTGCTCCTGCCGCAACTGATGGTGGCATAGACGCGGAGGAGCAGCATGAAGAAGGAGAGTTGGAGCAATAAAAGTTTTAACTACGATACGTACTTGGCTTAACCATGGTGTTTTTGGTTCACTTCTTGTACTATTGGACTAGGGAAATAAACGGAGTTGACGGGATACACCATGTTTTTTCGGAAGGAAGGAAAAGGACTTCCGTGGAGTTTTATTCGGACCTTGGGAAAGGGGCGAAGGTGGGGTGTAAAATAGCAAATGGATGGTTGACGTTTGAGAGGGTGGAAGAAGATTTTGAAGTACAGGGAGTATTACGTCCTCACAAGACCATAATATGAAGAGCACGAAGTTTGTCAATGACCTTTCCTTGTTCATATGCTATTCATTCAGCTCTGCACAAGAAGTACTTTATCATAGAAATATACCACAGTATTCAAATTATTGAAAAGCTCAGCTTTATCCGCGTATGTACGGGCTTATCCGGGTGTCTAATATCGTATATCGTGTTACTTCAAACTAGAACGTTAACGTGAGTATTATACTGTATGTAAATTTGAATGAACTATTCCATTATAGATCGATCTAACGAAAATCCAGAAGCGTCCCACTACATTTAGACCGCAGAAACCATATCGATGTCAAGTATAAGCTTATATGTCATGTACCATGTATTATGAGGCATCCATCCCGACAACACCAAATTCACCTAATGAACACATCCTCTTGATATACTCATTGATATTCTCGACGGCTTCATTTTATTTATAAATAATAATCTTTGTACTTGTTTTATGAATCTTGATAACCTTATAGTTTATACTTCTAATAATTTATAGAGATTTTTATAAAAGTTAATTATTTAATATATTTATTAATGTTGATTTAATATTGAAAAAAAATTATATTATTAATATAATAAAATATATTATTAAAATAAGTTTTAATATTGTAAAAGTAGTAGGTCGAGATATATATATCCTGATAACATATTGTAAAAAAAGAATTAAAAAAGAAAGCTGAATTAAATTATATTGTAATATATCATTTATAAAGAAAAAAAGATTTATAATAATTTTGAGATTGATATTATATAGATTCAAATATATATATATAAAAGATTGATTATTATAAAAAGAAGAAACAAAAGCTTTTTTTTTATATTTAATTATAAAAGATTATATAATTAACTAATTAAAAACCTTTATATATTTAATCTATAATTCCAACTTTTTTATAATATTTATAAATTTAATAAAATAAATCTTAATTTCTTTTTATATAAAATTCACTATTGAATAACTTTTTTAAAATAAAGTAAGTTTTGACTGATAATTAAAATAATTTTAATTTAGAAGTAGCTTTCTCTTTTATAATAATATATATTTCATTTTTAAGTTGACTTAATGTTACGAGGGATGCGATTTAGGTCATGTGGAAATGGCCTGGATCTTCGAATGGTTTATAACTAAGCGTCAAACAGGAGCTTTAAAATAATATCAATGATTACAATTTGTAATTAATAATAGGTTATACTAAATGATTAATCTTGAATACAAAGCTCTACAAAAGGAATCCTTTTCTAGCTATATAAATCTTTATATCAATTGGATTATAAGGATCTAATAGATCTAGGATATAATTCTTTAAATCTTTTAGATCCTATAATCTATTATGTAACCATAATCAGACTATATATCCAAGCTTGCTAAAGATAAAAAGATTATATAAAGCGATTACTATATAAATTTATATACAAATCGTCTTGCTTTTCGATAGAGCTTAAACTCATATAAACAAATTGATTGTTATTTTATAATATTATTCCCTTTCTAATTTAATATTTATTTTAAACTCTTATAGTAACTTTGCCTATTGATTTATAAGTTTTTTTTGTAAAATAGATTTTCCTTTCTTTTATTATATTATCTATATAATCAAGGAAATATAAAAAACAAATCGAGCTTACGAAATTAATCGAACTTTAAGAAAATATTATACCTTCTTATATTTATTGTGAAGATAATTCTTATATTTGTATTGTTTTGAAAAAGAATTCTTCTCGATATAGTGAATATATATATCGGAAAGCCAAATATGATTTTATAGACCCTTCTGTTATAAATATATATAATCTGATTCGGGAGTAGGAATATTTGAATGAAGAGGAAAAGAAGGTAATTAATTTGATTACAATTATTGTTTCTTGTTTAATATGATTATATAAACAATATAAGTTTCTTTAAACTTGTAATAATGAAATGATTTGTTGAGGTTTGAAAATAATAGATAAATTGAAAGAATTTGAAGGAGAAAAGGTTTTAAAGGAAGGAATTGTTGAAAAGGGAAAAGGGATTTCATTGTTTAATGTTTTTGATTTTAAAAATGATTCTTTTGTAATGCTTTTTCCTGATTCTTCTTTTTTTGATTCTTTAGATTCTGATAATCTGATTTGGGTAATTTTGGGTATCATTGATAGAACGCTTTCAGTTTTTTTGGATAATTAAGGTTTTTTTTTAATTTTCAAGTATTCTTCGAATATAGGAAATCCAATTATTTAATCAAATACTTGATTTTATCTTTGATATATTTATAATCTAATATTGTTTCGATATTGTATATGATGTTTAGATTGATTGATTCGATTTCTGTTATAAGTGTATCGGGTGTTTCTGGTAGTATTGGTTCGAATAAGGATATATGGAATATTAGATAGATATTCATAATATATAATAGTTTTAATTTATAATTGATTGATTCAATTATTTTATCGATTTTGAATAGTTTTAGTTTCTTGTAATCTAATTTATTATTAGATCGTTTTATTTGTATATTTTTTTGAAAAAGATAAACTTTATTTCTTTTTTTAAATATAAATTTTAGATTATATAATATATTGTAATATATTATTGTTTTTAAAACTATAAATTGTAAATCCAAAAAGAGTTGTTTTTATAGATTTTTGATTTTTTTAATATTCTTTATAACTTTATTTGTATTTCTATTTTGTAATAATATCGTTTGATATACTATTGAATGGAATCCAAAGTTAGTATAAATTGATATGGTTTTTGTTATTTCTATTTTTAATAAATTATATATGAATTGAGTTAAGGATAATAATTCAATCCAATTATCTTATTTGTAATTAATATAATATTATAAATAGACTTCTATTATTTGATTTAATTGTTCTATTTGTTTATCTATTTGTAAATGGAAAGTTATTGATAACTTTCTTTTTATATCTAATAATATTATTAATGTAATTCAAAATTTCGAAATAAATAATTTGTTTTGATCCGAAATTATTTCTTTTGGTATATTATATACATTGATTATATTCCTTAGAAATATATATATCAAATTATCAATAAATTATATTTTATAAAATGATATTATATAAATATATTTGATTAATTTATTTATTATTATTAAAATAATATTGTATTTCTTTTTCATAACTGATTCTTTGAAAAAAGATAATTTAATTACAAAATCCTATATAATGGATTTCTATAATTCTGAAAATAAATTAAAGATTTTAAATTGATTATATAAAGTATATCTAATAGTTTTGTTTTGTATACAAATATTATATTTCTTAATTATTCTTTTAATTATTATTCTTATTTTCGGGAAATATATTTCTTATTATAATTTTGCGAATATTCTGGTTATTTCTTGATATTTATATATTAATAATTTATATCATTTTTTGATGAAATCTTTTATTATTCCAATAGGGATATAGATTTTATTATAAAAATAGATTATTTCTTTCTTGATTATAAATCCTGATTTTAATTCCTTTAGGATTCGTTATATAATAATATTATTCTTGTAATAAGATAATAATTACAATTTGATTATATTATTCAATAATTTGAAAATAATGATTAATTATAGTTTGTTATATATTAATATATCACTTTTTTGTTTTAATATTATATATATTTTATAAGTTTTGTTTTATAAATACTTTGGTTTCTGATTAAAAGTATTTGTTTTAATATTTTCATTCTTTTTGATATATGAAATTCTGAAATTATAAATTACCAAGATTTTCGATTATTTGATTTATCATCGATTTAATTCCTTTGTTATAATAAAATAAATCAAGTTCTTATAATCTATATATATTTGTATTATATATTTTGATTCTTTCAAATATACTTTTTATTCTTTAAATATATCTATTATCATTAACAGCTTCTTATTGTATATCTTGTAATTTAATTTGATTAATGATAACTTTTATAAATGATAAACAACTAATTACTATTTCTTATTTGAACTGAATTAGTTTAATATAGTTTTTATTATATAATCTAAAGTATCTATTTCTATAATTATTGATAATTCTAAATCGAAGATTAAAAGAATAGGTTTTTTAATAAAGGCTTTCTTAAGATCCTTAAATACCTTTTGTATTTATAAAGTTTATTAAAACTTCTTTTGATTTTTCTTGATAATTTCCGATATTAGAATGATTATCTTAGAATAATCCTTGATAAATCGTTAATAAAAATTGATAAATCCTAAAAAGGATTGTACCTTCTTTATATTATTCAATAATTTTTAATTTTGAATTGTTTTTAGTTTATCAAAACTTATCTTGAAACCTTCTGAAAAGATTATATAACCCAGGAATTCCGTTTCTGTAATATAGAATTTGTATTTATTAGGTTTATATTGAAAGTCTGCTTTTTTTAAGTGTTTTAGTATTTTATATATATTTAATATATATTGTTTTTCTATTTCAGAGAATATAAGAATATCATTCAAATAATATATACAATAGATATCCAGATATTTCTTTAATACATTATTAACTAATCGTATATATATTGTTAATGTATTAATTAATCCGAATAATATAATCTAATATTCGTATAATTCATATCGAATTTTGAATACTATTTTCTATTCCTTATCTCTTTTTATTCTGATTAGGTGAAATCTATTCTTTAGATCAAATTTAAAGAAAATCCTTGTTTTTTTTAATCGATTCTTTAATTCTGTAATTAATGGAAATAAATATCGATCTTTGATTATTATATTATTGAATTTGTAATAATCTATATATAATCTTTTAGTATTATCTTTTTTAGATATATATAATATAGAACTAATTGTTTATAAGATTGATTCTTTGATTCAATTCTTTTTTAATATATTATTGATATATTCTTTAAATATTCTTAATTCCAATTCTGATATTTGATAAATTGATTCGAATGGAAATATTTTATCTTTTTCCAATATTATCTTATAATCCTATAATTTGTATTTTGGTAAAGTCTTATAATTTTTTCTTTTTTTAAATAACTTTTTGTATTTTTAATATTATATCAGTATTAGTATTCTTTTCTATTTCTATATAGAAATGATATCAAATAATTCCTTTTATTTATTCTTCATTTATATAAAAAATTCATCTTCTTTTATTGTTAATAGAGGATTTTG